TAACAATAACAGAAAAAGACGGAAAAAATAGGATCACTAGCCGAGATAACAAGAAAAATTGAAAGAGATAGAAAAGAGCAAAAGGTACTCGAAAATAAAGTACTTTCGTGATTTTCGTAATAATACTCCAAGCTCCAACAAATTCCACGAGATGGGAGAAAAAAAAAATTACGCAAGCGCGTGTCAGAAGGAATCAAAAGAGAAAACAGCAAACATGACAACAAAGATTCTGGTTACGGAGCACGAAAAAAAAAATCTCACCTAGGGGTGAGAAATCGCATTACCCCATTTCCCACTGGGCACAACAACGCCCCATACAAATGCACGCACTAAATCTCCGTTTTATTTTGGAAAAAAAAGTTGTTTACAAACTTGGGCTAGCTGGGTTTTATACCTCGACGTATTCTCATCTTTCTCTAGAAATGCGGTACGCACGTGTACGGCACGTCCCTACCTTTTATTTGTCACTTGCACTCAAAATCTTTAATGCGAAACCGTAAATACACATTTATACGGAAAAGGCAAAACGATTGTGTGGAGAAAAGACCAGCCAACAAAATAGGATTGGATGAAGGTATTGGAATGGACATGGAAAAGCAGATGGGGTGAGAGTTATACGTAAATGTTTTTTATTTTCACTCTTAGCTTGCAGAGGAAACGAATTCCTGCAACAGACAATTTCATTCCTATTCTGTATGCAAAGATTTTCTATCAGTCGATACTTGCTCTGCGTTATCAAATATATTGATAGAAATAACTTCCATATCATCATCCGAGATAGCTAAGGCTGGGGGTGGAAATTTGAATTCCAGCAGAAGATAAAATTGTTGAAATAAACGTATGAGAGTTATTTCTGCTCGAGAATACAATGACGAATATTTTCACTTTGATACGAGCAGTTAGTACCAATTTGCCGCATAAAGCTCCTGTTTTTGGATTCACGTATAATTATTTAACAACTGTCCACGAAATAACCAAACTCAACTTTTAAACACGGAGTACTCTAATTTTGTGCCATACGATATTTCTGTCATTAAATACTATCAAGCAACTCAAACATTCATTATCACGCGTACATACAGCCTTTATTAAAAGTTATTCCTTTTATCAGCCTAATATAAAATAATATACACATTTGTTTGTTGCTTTTTTGTAAAACTGTTTCCTCCCGTGTCTCCAGTAGTTAAAACAATTATAATTAAATGTTTCACGATTTCCTTTATCGATACCTACAACGATTTATACACAACAGTCAAAATCACCCGTACAATTCGGCACAAATGCATTCAGCCTCCATCGGTGTATAATTTCCAAAGGAGATTGGGCGTCGAACCGAGCGCTATAATGCTCTCACCTTCCCCCTTCCACCAGCAAATTACCCCTATCACTTTAACCAATTCCCCGACAAAGATAGCACCCCACCCCCTCAGCCTCCATCCTCAAGATTCGCAATAGCCTTCGAAAACGCTCCTCCATACCCAGAGGGCAAGTGTGCCCCCGTAAGTGCACGGGTAAATCGAACAGTGGCCGAAACACATTGTCCCCCATGTAATCGCAATGTTTGCAGCCGGTATTCAGTGACCATCAGGAGAGAAGAGAAAACACGCGGGCAATGCAATGCACGGCATTAGAAAGTCCTCTCCTGCTCCTTGCACATTCTCGAGTTTACGATAATGCTGTACTACACACGCGTACCCATCTGACACTCTGCGCGTCGAGTCGTAAAGATCAGGAGGAGCCACTTCACCCGGGAATCCCCCCATTGGCCTCGGACGCGCCCCCCCCCCCCCTTTATTGGGACACTATCGAAATTGCTTTCGGACGTGCTTTTCGGGCCTAATGCCCATCTCTGTGGGGCTGGGGACGAGGGATTGCAACGATTGTAGAGAGTGCGATTGAATTTTTCCTGCAGCCTTGCTCAGAATTTCAGGGAGCGTGGCCTTCCATTTTTGGCCCAGCTGAGGTGGGTGCGCTCCTTCGAACTCGTCCGGAGAGGCCAGCTAATTCGCCGGGACCTGATTTTCTCTCCTGACGGACGCCTGCACGAGGGTGGAATTTCTATGGGTAGTGGAGCTCGATTTTTCGGACCGGTGGGGATCGATTGTTGAACGATGGCTCGGATACCGAGGGATGGCTGAGTTTTTTTTTTTTCTAGAGGTACGTGGATGGGAAACTAAAGGGGGATCTTGTGAGGAATTTGGAGTCAGGAAGTCTTTTGGAAAGAAGAAAATTCTTATTCTTGGCTTGATTACAACATAACTGTGGGAAGTTATTCGAGGGTATTTTAAAAATTGAGGGATCCATGACAGGTGGAACGATGAGCGATTACAGTCAGGCGAGAGGGGTTGGAAGCCAACGGGGGTGTTCATTTAATGATACAACATATGGTTGGAAATAGATGAGTCAGCAAAGTGAAACATTTATTAAAGTTTTTGTTTTCGTTTTTTAGCGCAAGAAGGGTCCAAGAGTGTTTCTCGTGTACTTGATATTCAAATTACGGGCGTTCCCATTTGTTACAAAGTTCAATTTAAAAACTTGAAATATCAGTACTAAACTTGTCTTAAGGTATTTTTTTTCTGAAACGATTTTGGAAAAATATTCTATACATATTTAGAATGAGCAACATCTTGAAGGAACAAATTTCAGTAGTACAAGGTATGTTGCGTCAGACGGTGGTGATAAAACAAGTAGGTGTCTTTTTTTCTAAACAAAATTTATAAGATTCTTTGTAAATCAAAGTAAAAAACTGTTCATTCAAATTTTGCAACTGTCCGATTACTATTCGATCTCAAAAATGAAAAAAACCCCTTTTGTAAGGTATTTTCAGTAGTATAATACACGTTTGGTCAGACATGGAATTTAAAAATTCTTGTACAATAAAATGCTGTATACCTTTTTTTTTAACTGAAAGGAACATATCAACAAATAATGATTAAGAACATCCTTTGAAAATAATAATAAATAAAATCTTGTGCTTTAGTTAATTCCACAACATTCAAATTTTCATTTGTCCTCGTAAAAGATCAAATTGGTGTACAAAGTATTAGCCATAATTGGTAGTTTTCCTACGAGTTTGAAAAGTCTCTGTTTGCGAACCAAGAGATTTGCGGCCCGAGCTGAAGGCGAGGGACGTAACGAGGTTTGTAAAGGAGACTTTTCGAACGAGTTCCGGAAAACTACTTTTTCGCCCGAGGAAGTACCAGCCTCCCAAAACCACCCGAGGGCGGAAAAATTCTTTTCCACCCTCGAGTGGTTTTGGGAGGCTGGTACTTCCTCGGGCAAAAAAGCAGTTTTCCGATACTCGTTCGAAAAGTCTCCTTTACGAACCTCGTTACGGACCTCGCCTTCGGCTCGGGCCGCAAACCTCTCGGTTCGCAAACAAAGACTTTTCAAACTCGTAGGAAAACTACTATTATCTCTTCAATTTTTTTTTTTCACACTTAAAAAAGATAATGATGATGAACAAAGTACTTTCAGTAGTGCAACGTACGTTCAGTCAGACACATGAGTTCCGCAACTTGATCGATGTACCTAATCAACACACCAAATTATCAAAAAACATAACAATGGGAATCCAAGTAAAATTTGATATCCTAAAAAACTCGAGCATCACGCTACGCAAAAGTTTTAAATTAAAAAAAGCTGCGACCAAGATACCCTCCTCCCCCTCGAAAATATACTCACCTCGCTTTTATCGAGTTTGCACAAACAAGCGAACGCGTATGCACGGAAAGCCACTGCAGCAACTTTTGCCGAGTAAACATCTCCCGAGTCCATCCCTCGTTTTTTCTCCCCCACAAATTCTGAGCTACGCGTCAGCTTGCGTTATAGAAAAAGTGGACGAGAACCGGCAAAATTTCATGGTCCAGAAAAATATGTCAGCCCGAGGAAGGGATGCAGAAGAGGAGCAACTCGTGATTTCGCCCTCCTTTCAGCTTTTACGGCCCTGCCTCCCTGTAACCACTTTTCCCCCGCTGCATGATGGATGCATGGGTGGTTTATTTTCCAAGATGCTCCCTATGGTTCTGCTCTTCGACTGCGAGAGGATTTAGCAGATGGCCATAGAACCTTATGGCAGGGGCGCACGTGGAAGTAAATGAAAATCGAAAGAAGGGCAGAGTAAAATTGAGCTCCCTGCTCGGAATTTTGCTTTTTTCGTTCCCCAACTTGTGGGTGATGAATATTGATTGTGCTTGTGTTTTGAATATTAAATTTTTTCATAGTTTGGTAAAAAATAAAATGAAAATAATATAGTTTAGCCATCAATGTTTTGAGCTGAATTCATGGCCTAGTTTTCAAAGAAATAGTATACAGAAAATAATCTCCACGTAAATAAAAGTATAGATACTCGGGAGTGACTAAAAGATCATTTGAAATACTAATGTGAAAGGTGTACATACACTATGCTGTAGCTTTACAACTTAAAGTGTCTCGCTTTACATAATTATACGACGAAACAACGGAGTCAAACGTGACAAAACATTTTTTACAAGAGATGTACTTTTGTTTTATCGCTTCTTAGTCGCAAACACTCAAAAAAACCGTAAGTATATGTATATCTAGGGTATACAATTTTTTCAACATCAGACGTATGTACATCCCCCATTAATACGAAAAACAATTATGACACACAGGCACAATATTCTTTGTTGTAAGTAACGTAATGCCACCAGACGTGTGCTTAACATACGTAAACGTCAAAATACGAAGGCGTTATTCCAAGATTGAAATTGGTACTGAATCCAAAATTAAACCATGATTCTCGATTCATGCGCAACGTCCACATGGTTCGAGTAAAAAAAAAAAAAAAAAAGTCTGCCCTTAAATCGCCGATCCCAGATATTTCTCCTGTTTTCCAAACACATGCTTCCACCACCCCCGAAAAAAAAATATCTGACCCAGCATTTTCCCACCCAATATTATCCCTCTGCGAAAGAGCAGCATATTCCCCTCGTCGAGGGAGTTAAGGTATATTATTCAAACAAACATTTCTCCGGCAGGGCAGTCTGTTCGGTTGGAGAGACGAACGCCACCCAGGACTCGACGCCCGGCCTCAGCGAATTCGGAAAGGTGAGTGTGTTTCACATACATATATATCATCGTACACGTTTTATTCCTCACAAAAGGACAAACCCGCCCACCATAGAGAGAGAGGGTAAGAGGATGCATGTACAGTGATATCCTCGGAGGTTTGCTTTTCCGGGAGATGTGTCCCGGAAAATTTTGAAAGGACGCGCTCTGTCTCTGTTTATTCAATATTGCGGCCCTTTGTTCGGGGCGCGCGTGTTTCCGCTGCCAGAGGAGGTGCGGCTCGTTCGTTTTCGAGTGCGTTTTATGGGTCTTGGCTTGCTTTTGAGATTTACGAGAAGGAGGGTGGGGCAACGGGTCGTATTTTGAAAGGATCTTTTTGTTGTCGAAGGTTTTCACTCGCTCATATTTTCCTTTAGCTGGTGCACTTGTACTCGGTGTATTCAGCAATTAAAGGATATCCTGCGGAGGAGTAGCTTCTACCTCGAGGGACTAAGCTCTTGGGGGGCTCGATAAGGATTTCGAAGTAATTTCAAGACCTTGAAAGACCAAAAAATCTTTAAAAATCTTGGATGGTTTCAGATGATCAAATTCATAGCCCACTCTTGAAATAAGTGCGATATGAACGTCTTACAAAATCATGAAAATTTAAAGTCTTCAAGATCCGATGCAATAATTTTAGGGTCATTTAGAGCTATTCGCTTGATTTAACCATTCAAAATAATGTAGAGTTTTTTTAAGTCTTTGAACCTTGAAGCTATCAAAGGTCTTCGACATTTCTAGATGATGTTGGTCTTTTGAAATTTTATAAAATATTTTTTAAGGATCAAGAAAGACTTACACGTGACTCAATGACTTTAAACAACTTCTAAATATATCAAAAGCCACTTGATCTCACGAGAAGTCTTTGAGATCTTTGAATGGCTTAAAAAAAGTCTTTGCAGCTATCAAAAGTCTTAAATAATCCTATAGAAGACTAATAAAAACTACAGAATTTTTATCAAGACTAAAGTGCGCAACTCCTCGAGAGATCATTCAATAACTTGAAATTGCTTCTAATGGCCTAAACATCTCGACTGTAGGATATTTATTCACGTGTGTATCTTCATTGCGTAAAATCTACCTCATCAGACTTTTTGATCGACAAAATCAGTCAATTAAAAATACTGTAAAAAGCGTGTCACGAATCACAACGGGCAACTGCTAACAATCCAAGCGCAAAATCCAAAGCAATCCATCTCGATAACGCCGAATCTTTTAACAATAATTACAGAAGATGAAAAAAAAAAAGGTGAAAATCCTCAGCAACGATAAATTCACCCGTGCAGCGCTCGTCTCGCTCGACAATCATCCGAACGGAAGGGAAGAAAAATTTCACAAATGCACGGCGTGTAATCCCCGCCTAGTCACGATCTCTCGTCGAGCAGACGCATCGATAGACACATAAGACAGCAAACATCGTTTCCGGGAGAATTAAGCATTAACGGGCGTGGGGGTATGGGGGGCGATCGTGATAAACGATTTTTCAGGTGCGATGAAGCCAGCGCTTTCCACCCGAACGAGCGAGCCTCTACTTTTTTATTCATTTTTTTTTTTTTACCTGTTCTTCTCGAGAGAGCGCTGGAAGGAGGTGTGTATGAGGCAATAACTCACGATTGGCTGATCGGAAGTGCAGTAGGGGGTGAGGGGGTTGTAGGTGTGATTTTCTCGATTTCTCATTGCGAAACGACATCATAAAAAAAAAAAAAAAAAAACGAAATGTGAGCAGAGAGAAGAAAAAAAATTGAGCGCCCGCTGTCTACTCTCTGGGGATGTTTGGGCTTACGTATAAATACGCCGGTATGACGAGATTCTCTCTTAATATTCCCTTGATTTGCTTTTTTCGTTTGCACGCACTGGTACTGCATTTATTTCGTTTACTGTGATTCGGGTCATACGGCAATAAGGTGATAAATGGACACGTGGCCCGTGTGATTCTAATATTCCATCGGTTCGCGGTAGGGATGGAGAGCTACTTCCGTGAATTTTTCAGGAAGCTCCTCGAACTTTGAGAAAATGAGAAATCCCATAGGGGGTTGGGGTGGAAAATGAGGGGAGCGCTTGATCGTTGATTTATGGATTTTAGAGTGTATTTTTTTTCCTTTTAAATTCGATATCCAGCTTTTATTTATCGCTTCGGGAAGTGTCAAAGACCGAGGCTGGAATTATTGATGGTGATTTCTTATTTCTCGAATCTCGCTTCGATTCGTGGATTGAGAAAAAGGAAAAACGATTCACGAGATATAAAAAGTGACTATTGAGGAAGATTTGGCGATGGTGTCTGTGAAATTTTTACTGAATAAGTATTTTCTTCGTACATTTTTATGAAAGTTTTTCATTGGTCCTTGTTTATAATCCAATACAAAGGAAATTTTTTTTGCGACAAAGTAACTGACATTAAATGTTCAAATACTTTGACTCTTTTATTTTAAAATGATTTTTTAATTATTTATTAGTAAATCATATAAGCTCACGTGAGAAAATGATTACTGTATTGAGAAGCATAATTTATTAGGATTGTCTCTTAAGCACCAAATGTTTTCCGTTACTTTTCTTAAAAAAAAAGTTTCCCTCTTACAAAGTAAAAGTGCTTGATTGCTCTATTTACTTATATACTGAAACTTTGAAATAAAATTTTCCCCCATTTTCGGTTCAGAGAGCAGATAAGTCGAATCAAACTGAAGTTTAGATACACTAAAAAAACCATTTTTGACTTAATTAGCCTACACTCGCTAAATGAGATCCAACGAGCCCGTAAATTAATTTCGCATCAGTTTAAGCAACGAAAAACCATCCGAAAGTTCCAGCCGGTCTCTAAAAACGGCCATCACCACCCGAAGAAAAAGTGAACTCGTCAATCAAGGGAAAAAGAAGAAACTCAATTTTCTTTACCACCACCACCACGTACGGGTTTAAAAAAAAAATCGAAAAATCGTGAATGGAATACTTGATTCGCGGCTGAATTTCCATCAGCCCCCGCGTGGGCGTGTATGTACATTTTTCCCCCCTTTCCGGCAGAATCGACTTTCCCGGACCCCCGGAAAAAGAGGAAACGCTCGACCGATATTCGAAACATGCTGGTGATTTAGGGGGACGCGGGCGCGCGTTGTTTCCGACCGGTTTCCTTCTTTGTTTTTGTTTTCGGAAGGTCGGCCAGTTTTTTCAATAAAACTGCACCTGCACGCCCTCGGCTCGCCCACGGAATGTTTTATTAATCGCCGAGCGGTCGCATTGTTCCCCGGAAAGTTGAGGCTCGCTTTTTCACGTGGTGCGGACTATGGGCGATCGTTTCAATCTTTCGGCTCAACTCTAACTTGCTAGTTGTACATTATCTGAAATGGTTTCGAAGGTGATTTTTGTATTAGGTCCTAGTACCTAAAGACCACGTGAATTAACAATTTTTTAAAATTATTTTTCACGAAGCCAAAGTGAACGATGCCTTGGTATGTCTCGAGAGTAAATTCAGAATTTTCAGGTCATACGACACCCAGACAACCAAATCAACGTGTTGAAAAAATTTAATTGGATGTTGAATATTTCAAGCATAAATACTAGAGGTACGGTACTAAACATCACGCACAACAATTTCATTAAAATCTCTTTCCCGAAAACTGTGCACTCTCTTCATTAAAATAATAATCTCACGTTCCATTCGAAAAATCCAATCCTCGTCGGTACCCAACACCGGCGTGCAATTTTTTTTTTTTTTTTAATTCACCAGACGCGAAAGCTCACCAGTAAAAAAGACACGACGTTGCCCACCTCGAAACCCTGCAGTGCCAAAACATAGTCCCGCTGATCCAAAATTAAACTTCCCTCTGCTGTACGATGCATTAAAGTAATTATAACCCCGAAAGAAAATCCAATATGTACACGCGAACCGGATACCATATAGGCCGAAAATTCCCCAAAAAAAATCCGGGCAATGGCACGGCGTCAAACACCAGCGCTGACTTGGCAAAATAAACCGCGTCTCGTCAATGCTGCGGATGTAATAACTCCCGGGGTTGCGCGTGTTTGGCTTCCTTCTGGGCTGCATACGGTATTTATTTTTTTCTCTCTCTCTATCTCCCTTCCCTGCCTAACGCTGCAGAAGCCATTGGCTCGGATGTATGTGCGGAGACGGAGGGAACAAACCGCGAGCGGGCATACATTTCTCCCGAGTAAATATCGGCGCAAATCGAAATGCGCTTTCTCCTCCTGTGTCTGGGTGTACATTGGCTCTCGCTCCCGCCGCTATGTACGTTCCGTATAGGCGAATATTCTCGAAGCTCTTCCGCGTTGTATGTACATGCATACGGTGATATTTGATGATAGTGGCCGCGGGAAAAAAAAGCAGGTTAACGATCGCGTGGGTCTATATCTTCGTCGATGAAATCTCTATCGGGGTGAATTTATAAACCCACCGCGTACACCGGATGGGGATGCTCTCTCTTGTTTTTTTTTTTTTTTTTTTTTTTTTCAAGAACCCTTCCTTCCTCTCCGTCTGTGGCATAATCACGTGACTACAACTCCCCTCGAGCCATCAGCGAAATTNTTTTTTTTCACCAAAACCATGCGTTTACAAATTCAGCGTCAATCCCTCCCAGTCACCCCCGTATGCTCGATACATCGCTGCAACTCCAGCGCCTATACATACACGTGTACACCACGAAGCTCGCGTTTTTCCGTTTTAATATAAAAAGCACGCTCTCGCGCGTTGGCTGGGACCGGCAGCAGCTGGTACGTGGTCGTCTTTGACTCCCTCCCCGTGAGCTCCTGTACCGCCGGCTCCACGATTACGGGGGTATAAAAATTTATAAACCTCGCTGTACACGTAAATGGAAAATTTTTCTTTATCAAGAAGGGAACGGGGTGGGGAAAAAAAAAAATAAAAAAAGAATAAGGAAGCGGGTACGTCCGAGCCAAATGAGATGCAAAGTCGGCAGTCTGAGTGATCACAGGGAAGGCCGGTACAATGCACTGTGCCTGGTGTCCGTGTAAAAAAAAAAAAGGATCACAGA